TAGTCTTTTATTATATAGGATAGAAGCCAACTGAATTTGTTCAAAAACAATTAGAACCAGTGAGGGGATTAAATAAGTTCACAGTTACAAATATACAAAAATCATTTGCTTTTATGTATTTATTGTCAATAATTTTTATTTTATTTTTTATTTTTTTATTATTATTTTTTAATATATTTTATTGATTTTTCACAGAGAGGAAGGGAGAGGGATAGAGAGTTAGAAACATCGATGAGAGAGAAACATCGATCAGCTGCCTCCTGCACATCTCCCACTGGGGATGTGCCTGCAACCCAGGTACATGCCCCTGACCGGAATCGAACCTGGGACCCTTCAGTCCGCAGGCCGACGCTCTATCCACTGAGCCAAACCGGTCTCGGCCATTGTCAATAATTTTTAGAGAGCATATTGGGATAAAATGATCTTACACAAATAGTCACAAAATATAAAATTCCTTCAAGTAGATCTCACAAAACTATGCAAAATCTACATGAAAAACACTATAAAGCGTTTTTAAGGAACCTAATTAAAAATAGGAAAAGTTGAAGAGATATCTACTTCGAATGGAAATATTCAGTCAGAAGTAAAGAGGATGACTTCCCCTGAAACCATTCTCTACATTAATCAGAAATGTTAACAAAGTGCCAAGCACGTTTTTAACCAAATTATTTTAAAGTTTGTCTCAAAATATAGATGGTTAATAATAATCAAGAAAATATTGAAAAATAATAAGGAAAGGCACTTAAGTTCTGCTACATTAAACACACATGAAGTCAGAATCATGAAGAAGAATACTTCTAGGGCAATATGCAAAGTATATTCATAATTTTGCAATAAGCAGCACAAAACTGTTTTTTAGTGGAATGAAATCCGGCGTCTATATATGCCTATGGAAAAGCTAGTCTCTCCTGTTAGCATCTGACTTTATAAATTTCCAGTATTTTCTGTTTAAATTTTATCCTACAAAATGAGATTCTGGTGAAAATATGCTTTATAAGCTACTTCTTTGCTCACCTACATCTTATAAACATTTTCCTATTATTAAAATATTTTTCTATCAGATGACTTTAATAACTTCGTAATTTTCCTTTATGTGGCTACACTAGATTTTATTTAAATAAGCTGTTGTTTTTGAGACACTTAGATTGTTTGTAATTATAAATAGAAATACTTATAACCTCCTTTTCTCTAGGTCTTTCTCACAGCTGCACACTTCCTTAGCCTGAGTGCCCCAAAGTGAAGTTGCTGGGTCACGTGCTACATGCGTAGCGTGGGAAGGTCGGGGCGGGAGCGGTCTTCAATGTGCGAGCTATGAGGGGCCTCTTTCCCAAACCGGTTCCCAGACTTATGAACTAAATTTTCAAAAACTTTTCGTTAATCTGATATTCAAAATTATCTTTTAATTATCACTGAGGTTGAACATTCAAGAACAGTAATTGTTCATTTGTACTTATTATCATGTGCAGTATCTAGTCCTATTCTTTGCCCATTTTTAAATGAGAAGATTCGGTCTTTTATTGGTTTGTGAAGCTATTTTTATAACAAGGACATTAACATTCATAGCATCCGTCAACAATGTATTTTAGAATTTATTGTTTGCTTTTGCATTTTGTTGTTTCCAGTATTAAAAGAAGAACCGTTTCCATTTTTCCTGATTCCACAGTAGCGAACCATGTCTAATAGCAGAAAATGTTCTCAGTTTGCACACATTACAGCAGTCAGAGAATTTATGCTTGAAGAACTCATACATGTAACTTATAACCATCTAAGGTGAATGGTTTAACACTTTGACTTTATTTTGTCCTTATTCTTCACCAATTTCTTTATATCTGAAGACTCTCCCATGTTGATTCTCCTTGAAGGCGGTAAGGTAAGCAGTGCAATAGAAATCCGATTTCCTGCATAGAAAGGTTCCAGTGGCTGATCTATAATGTCAGTAGGCTTCCCATGTCAGACCCTTTTCAAAACCTTAAATCTCAAGTTCAAAGTCCTCACTTAAGTCTTGACAGTAGCTTTCAAGGCCATCGATTCAAGAATAAACACATTTCTTCTCTTTCAAGCTAGAGAATCATATTCTCTTTATACCTGTTAACACACTTTTTCAAAAGAAAAGAACTTTGTTTCAAAAAAAAAAAGAAAACCAACCTTTTTTTTTATTCAATTCTCCTGGGATATTAAGAACAAAAAGACTTACAACTTAATGGAACGTCTTAATTCCCCAAGAATGAGGGAGAAAACTAGAGGCCCCGGAGTGGAAAGGGGCCATTTCACGGCTCCCTCTCGGATGAAGCGAAGGGCTTGCCTGGGGCACACCCTGGTCCTTTAGGAGGACGTGAGGTTCCCCTCTAGATGCCAGTGAGGGTACCAGTTCAGGCATTTTACTTGTCAACTGTTGTCAATCCTATAACATTTATCGCAACCATGTTCATCTAATGGGGGTCACAATAAAATGAAATAATTATTTCCTAGTAGATCTACTACCCATCACGAGAGAGATAGTTAACTGATCACCAAGTCATCAATTACCTACACATTATAGGCATAAAGCTAATCAACAAAAGTTTGATGTTATTATTACTCATCTGTATAAAAAGATTAGTCCTTCATGGTATATTCTATAAGGAAAGCATCCAGCCTTGGTAGTCAGTGAGCCTGCTTTGGCCTGTTTTGAGCTGTGGCACACACACCCTAACAGAAGAGCCCCATGGTAGCCAGCGCTCAGGAGCCACTAGGGCTACCAAAAGCTTTCCTACAGTCACCCGAGGGGCTCTACCCACGCCCAGGCAGCTCTCTCTTCTGATTCCTTCAACGGGCTCTCCTACTGGTGATTCTTCAGGGTCAACAGAAAGGCTTTCTTGAAAAAAACAAAACCCACAAATTGTAATGAGAACTATACACACTCCATTACACATTTTTTGGATGTACAGTATATAAAAACACACTTATGGAGTTCCGTTTCAATGTCTCATCTTCACTCAACAGTTTATAAAACATCTAGCGAGATGTGGCTATGAGTCCTTTTTAGGAGGGGGGTTGAGGGAGAGGGGGGAGTACAGAGAGAAGGCAGACACCCAGGACCGTAAGCATCCGATTCTGTTTGGTTGATACAGCAAGACGGGCTCTTTCAGCTTGGGAGAAAGTACCAGCCCTCCCCTTCCTTTTACACATCAGCACGCATCTGCATACGTCTCCCTACCACTTCTAAATGATCCCCAGAAACACTTACACACAACGATGAAACCACTTAGGGGACTGTGTCTGCTACCTGGAGCTTTGGTCACACATCACCAAGTAGAACTTGAGCCATAGGAGCAGGAGCAGGACATGTGGTAAAAGAACTCCTTTGTCCAGGAGGGGGCAGTCTCTAGCATGCTGCTCCCTCTCCTGGGATGCTCTTCACATAGGTAACATCTGCTCACCCCTTGGGCCTGCTCTTCACCTATGTGACGTCTGCTCACCTCTTGGGCCTGTTGCTGAGTCTGGGAGCCTCCCCTACTGCTAGCCTGGCCTGAATGCCCCTTTTGACTTGCTGTTTAAATACCCCATCCTTCTGAATCCTTACCCTACTTGTGGTATGTGTTCAGTATCTTCTTCCACACGAATATGTGCCCAGGGGGGCTGAGTACCACATTTGTCTTTTTCAGGTCTATATTTGCAGTTCCTAGAACACTGGCTGATACATAACACATCCTCAATACACATTCACTGAATGAGGGTTAAGTTAACTAATATATGGAAAGTGCTCAGTTTAATTCCTGCCACACACAGGTGCTCGATACTCGTTAGCCGCTAGTGTGTGAGCCATCACGGGTCTGTCCCACACCGAGAGCGAACAAACTGAATTTGGGAGGCGGTCAAGATCCAGGCTATTGGAAATGTGGCCCAGAGTTCAAGAATGATGTCAAGATGCCTCCCAGGTATATCGAGTGTAGCATCGTCCCTTCTGAAAGCCTGGTTCCTTCTGTCCTTTGTCCCTCCACAAATGGCACATGCTTTAAGGTCATGGCCGACCTTTTTTTTTTAAAAGGTAGAACATCTTCCTAATAAGAGTCTTTGACTTCATCTTGGAATAGTCTGTGGCCTCATAGGGTATGACACACCTTTGATCTTCTATAACACGTGCTCCCTACAGCTCTTCTGTACAAACCTTAGAACTGGTAGTCATCTGAGAGAGTCAATAACAGGTTCCCATGATTGTCTAGGACCAAGGAAGTGTGGGGGTGTCGGCCAAGTTCACGCAGCCAGTGACCAGTGCCTGGGTCCCAGCCTCTGACCTCTCCTCGCCGGAAGGAGCAAGTGGCACCTTCCAGACCCTGCCCGTGTGAGAACAGGGACCCCGGCCCCCCGTCCTTCTGTGCGTGCACCTCGTCACCGTGCCCTCAGAAGTGTTCTTTCTAGCCAACTCGTATTTCTTCCGTCTCTTGTAGTTGTTTACGGGCGATTCCTTTTAAAGTTCTAAACATTGAAAATTTGCGTTCCTTCCCTGCGTTCTTGTGAGTGTAAAACACAGTCAGCTGACATTCGCCTCTACCAAGAACATTCTGGGTGTTTGTAGCCAGCCTGTGGTTTCTACTCACACAGAGACCCAGCCCCCCTGCCCAGATAAGTGTTTGTCTCATGGTTTTCAGAGCAGCGAGGATTGTTAACCGAAAATGTACCTGTTGTCAACCTTCCGGGGGTCCTTTCACTCCCGCGACACTGACTGGCCTTCTCTGTTTGGCGCTACCTGTCCATCACCGCCTCTTCCATGAGAGACGCTGAGCCACTCTCGTGGGGATGCTGAGGAATCACTATCGGTTGGGAGAACAGATAACACACCAGCAAGACCCTGGTGGTGGCACTAAGACCACAGCGCCTCGTTCAAACCCGTAACGATAAGGCTCGTCCCACTGGTGATCCCCGGTCGAGCCCGGTTTAATGAAATGGTCTGCCAGTCGCTTCGCCTTGTGATGGTGGAATTCATGCTTCTTACTTTGGCCTGTTCCTTTCCCCCCGTGTAGATGCCCTGAACCTCCGGAACCGGCAGGTCATCTGTGTGACGCTCAAGGTCCTGCAGCACCTGGTGGTGTCAGCGGACATGGTGGGCGAGGCCCTGGTGCCCTACTACCGTCAGATCCTCCCCATCATGAACATCTTTAAGAACATGAACCGTGAGTGACCCCGGGAGGCGGAGTGTCCTCAGTCTGAAAAGAGGGGCGTGGTTGGAGGCAGGGTTCACTAGCGACCCATCAGGATGTAGCATCAGCAGCAAAATCCTTTGCGGATCTAAATGGTGCCCCTGCCCCCCTCCTCCCACTCCCCAGGGCAGC